AGATAACATTGTAATTCATCATTTTTGTTATCTGAAATGTCAAGTATTTAATTAATTGCGTGTATGACACAGATTTTTTTAACTATCCTGTTTTTATATACAATTTACAAATTTGAGCTATCTCTCATTAATAATATTGCATATAAATGATAGTGTAAAACATATTTCAAGTTATAAGTGAACAAAAAATTAATGATGACGTGATCACTATAGTTTGGGCATATTTATTTTTATAGTGCTCTGCAAAATATTTATTACACAGTTACAACTGCAATATGAGTATAGCATAGCTGTCATATGCCATGCAGGTTGGTCCTTTGTCTAGGGCTTTGCATATAATGGTTAAAATAATATCTTATAATCTGTTAGCTATTTACAATCCCTTGTGCATGCAGTACTCCATTTAAGCCATTGAAAAACTAGTATCAAAGAACGTAGCTTAAAACATTATATTATATTATTATTATGGTTCTCCTCCCTTCAACACTCATCATCTTCTTTGCCTTTTCTCTTTCTAATTGTAACACATCAATAGCACAAATATTTTACAGATATTTTTTCCCAACTTAATTTTCTGATGTTATGTACACTTTTGGCATTGAATGACACAGCAGAAAAATCTTTCCAACAGCAATGGCAATACATAAGGTTTTGGAAACTGTCATCAATTCAAAAAGACTGTGGCACACAATCATTATGGGAACATAAAAGACATGCACATGCAGCTATCTCTACAGGTGAAAAATGAATAATTTCAATCAGACATTGATGGTGTTAGTTTCACACAAGGAGCATATCTCGCTACATGGTTATGACTGCACCCAGGTACAAAATCTAAAATAGCTAGTTCAGTTTTTTAGTTTGTGTTTTTAAGTGCTTTTTTTATAAATCAAGCATGAATCAAACAAAACTGGACAATATTTTACTAATTCAAAAATTATAAACAAAGCTACTCATGCAATTTTTGCGAGGAGTAAAGTTGACTTCAATGGGCACACTAGGTCTAGACAGTATCATACTGGTATCATATGGTAACCTATCACTGGGAAAATTGGACTTCATTTTAAAGTGACAGACAAGTTATATTTGTGAAAAATGAAATGCTAAAAAATTAATTTAAATTAATACTTGGCATATAAGAATTTTATCTCAACTTCAGCAAATCTTTATCCTAAGCTTAAAATAAAGATTTCATTTATAACAATAATCCTTGTTATTTTAAATGCACACTTACCCCAGCAGCCTTTAGCTCCAAATCCAAGTGGCAACAGAATAAAAGGATGTATATCGTCAGTTGTCCAACGATCAGGATTGAACTTTTGTGGATCTTTGAAAAGCATTGGATCTTGACTCATTGCTTCCATTACTACCAGTATTGGTACCTTAAAAATTCAAATAAAATAAAAAATAATAGCTTTATATTTACCTTAGCTGGGATATGATATCCCAATAGCTCTATGTCATAATCAAGTAATCTTGTTGGCAAGTTTGTAACTGAATATAACCTGTATAATCATGTAATGAAAAATGTTTATGTTTTATAGTTTAAATAGATATAGAAAGAATTAGTCTGAATGATACTGTTATTGGCCTCGCCCGGCTTTTTGTAGGCAAGGACTAGAGCTAGGTAGATACTAGGGTTGTCTGCCTGTCTTTCATTCATTCTGTGTGATCAGGGCTGCCAATGGGGGGGCAGGTGGGGCATTTTGCACCAGGCCCCCAAGCCCATGGTCAACAGTAAAGTATTACAGAAAAAAATTCAATAAATCATGACAACTCTCTTGCTGGGACATTAAGTTAATCCCTGTTATCAAGAGTAAAATTATCCACTCTTGCTGTTATTAATAAGGGGGGGGGATAGAATTTGTATTAGTATTTTGTAGGGGCCCCATCTAAGTTTTTGCCCTGGGCCCTGCATAGCCTATTGGCAGCCCTGTGTGTGACGTCTTTTGTCTTTGAAAATGTATATCTTTACAATCTCATGCTCTAAACAAATGAGAGCTTCTCTTCTGTTAGAAAAAGTCTTGCTTTACTGCCTCGAGATGTTTAGAGAGCAGCTCTAGGTAGTAGAAGCTTTTTAACTGAAGAGAAAATGCCCAGCAATAGCAGTAGTATTTTCTGGAGGTAAATGAGACTCTTTTCAGGGTTCTATCTAGGAATTTTTGTTTGGGGAGGAAGCCCAGAGCAGTTGACCGGGGGGAAGGTTGTGTACATACATGTATGTACATGTACAGTACATGCATGCAGTTACAGAAGTACACAGTCAGGGGGAAGCTTGAAGTTTTGGGGGGGAAGATGAAGAGTTTGGGGGAAAAGCTTCCCCCCCCCACCCCCCCCCCACTGGATAGAACCCTGCTTTTCCAGTAGATCAAGACTATTTATACATTTAATATGTGTGAAAATGTTTAAATCTTTCTTGTTGGTGAGTTATAGCTACTTGAATTTTATCCCGAGTGAAGTGCTGTAGCAGCAGTTTGCTAGTCTAAGGATCCTAAATTCCACCAATAGATACACAAATACCCCAATCTGGAATATGATAAGTGAGTTATTGCAATCCAAATCCAACTCATAATAAGTGAGTAAATGCAGTTATTGGGAATACACCAATAACTGCACCTAATGAGCCACTTCGTGCTTTTTAGATAATCATGACTACATATGTATTACTGTGAAGAAATGATGGGCAACTTCTGGTAGAACAGCTGGAACCAGAACGCAAAAACAACATTTGCAGCTAATAATAATATTGAAATTAAGGTATCATTAACTTGTAAATGCTAAAGCTATGGAAAAGACTTGTACATGTACATAACCAGGCTGGGATATACAACAGGGTTGGTCAAAAGTACTACATAATGAAGAGCTAGGGTACAGTCCAGAGTAGGAGAGAGTAAAAGAAATATTGGGCAAGCATATACATGGCAGCATAAAACCAAATCCTTTTGGTACAACTCCAAAGATGTCAGTCCAACTTGCAAGTTGCAACTCTTTTGTTTTCCCACTACTTTCTACTTTTAATTCTTTCACACCATAATAAATAAAAAGAAGCTTTTCATTGGTGAAATTACAATTTTCTGAAGCCTAATATTTTTGCTACTACTTTACAGGTCTCAGTACATGTATACTATACAAGGGAGAAAGAGAACTTTCCATTTATTTTATAAGTAATTGAAAGAAAAATATGAAGAAACTGTCACCCATGTTAACAACAGGCACATATGGCTACTGCCTCTACTCCACAAGATGAGAGTGAGCAATATTGGGTAAATCTATCTGTGATAAGTAATTGGCAAATTTACAATTATGTAACACATGACATTGAACAAGCATACTGATGGCAGATTTTATATAGGTGATTTTACATTAGTCACCAATCACTTATTAATTACATGCATATATACTAATAATTTACTTTATGTATACCTGAATTTGAGTGAGTGGCTAGACGACTTGATTGTAACAAAAACTCCATCTTCTCATCTTTTCAGTTATTGTTTAACTTTATCATCATTAGCTCTCTCTTCACATGATTTTATTGAACACAGTCTCTGGGAAAGAGGTCTCCTACAAATAAAGATAGTCATAATCATTTTGATGCAAAAGAACTACTTAATTCTATATTTACATTGGTGATGTGCTGGGTACTATAGGGGCTGAATTAAGTCAGTTAACTACTGTGTATAAGGACTTTAAATCCAGTTTTTCATCATGTATTCAAATGGCCATGCATCAGTGACTATAAGAGGTCACCATATTAAAGGTAGTCCTTATCAACTGTCAGTAAAGCATCAAGAGACTATACCACACTAACTAACCAGAGATCCTTTAATGTGGGGAATCGTACCACTGGTGTTGCTGTTCATACTAATGGTGAAGTATTTGCTGGTAGTAGGGCTGGGTTTGTTCAGGTATTTAGTGAGGATGGTACTGCTGTAAGAAGGATTGGATCTAAAGGTAATGGTGATGGGCAATTTCAACGACCATGGGGTTTATTGCTGGTAGGAGACAGGCTCTATGTGTCTGATGATAATCTTCATCATGTGCAGTATTTCTCAGCTACTAATGGTCAGTATATTAGTCAGTTTGGTAGTGAAGGTAATGGAAATGGACAATTCTCTCGTCCTTTTGGTATGTCTACTGATGGTAAAAGTAATATATTAGTAGCTGAGCACAGCAACAAAAGAGTACAAGTGTTTAAAGAAGATGGTACATTTGTACATCATACAGTGTGATGGTACTGCATCTGATGTAGCAGTTGATAATGAAGGAAAGATACACGTTACCATTCAAAGTCAACATCATGTTCAAGTCTTCTCTCCTGATGGTAAAACTCATCTTGAAGTTGATACATACAATAATCCAGCTGGTAACTTTAACACACCTGATGGTATTGCTATTGATGATGAAGGATATATCTTTGTATCAAGTAACAATGGCTATCTTCATGTACTGAGTCCTGACAGGAAACAAGTCAAATTAATCCCTGGATTAGTATACCCATGGGGTGGAGCACTGGATAAGGATGGATATATTTATGTTGCTGAATATGGCAACAATCGTATAATGAAGTATTAACTAAATAAGTTACAGTTTAAGGTATAAAGTCACTCTACCTCGTCTTCTTTCGATTTTTCACACACATAGTTTTGCTCACCCCTTCAATATCATCATACACACACTCATACATACTTTCCCTTCCTTCTCATCACTAACTTTTTAACTATTTTATTAATAGAATTGATTTGATTCATAATTTTGAAAAAAAAAGAAAAGAACAAAATCTTAAAATAATCATTATTATCATTATACTAGTACATATACACACATTCATAGTATTATACTATTATACATCATACATGTGTTTTATACATATAATTAGTCTGATCTTTAGGTCAATCAGTACCTGAGGTCCTAAGTACTCGCGTAAATATGCAACTGCTAATGGCTGACGTCTTGACAAAATATTAACCAGTGTTGCTGGTACTCCTTCCATATTAACCTATACAATGTACGTCATGTTTGACTCCACCCACAACCACACCCACCTGCAACGGATAGTTAGCAGTTTTTCTTTATAGCAATAAGGCTCAACTTGTCACGACCTAGTAAAACTTTGTATATTTTAGTAATCTCATTACATTTCTCTAACCTTTCCTCTTATGCGTTTTGGCTATGGAGGACACTCTCTTAGACTTTGACAGAAACACCAGCTATAATCTTCATATTAAGATGAAGGAGAGGGAGAGAGAGAGGGAGAAAGAGACTTCATGAGTTGACAATGAATAAAACAATACATTGTACATTGCACATGTACATCACTTTAGGAGCAACTTTAAAAATTCATAAAAATCAAACTTTTAAATTGGAACCAGCTCAAGCTTTCTACACAACATAACAACATGCATATGTATCAGAAAAAATACAAAAGTGGTGATCCTCTCAGTCATTTTGATAAAATTGGGTTTTTAAACTTTTTTGAAAAATTTTGAGCTAAAGTTTGCACACGTACATGTATCTACACGTATACCCACCTCCTCCAGTGCATTCTGATTAGTGATTTCCCATTGTACGGAAGTCAATCCCCTCCTCTGTCCTATTAATAATAATGATTAACAAATACTATACAATGAGGGAATATACTTGGGTAGTCATTAAGAGCACTGGTAATAGTACTGGCAGTGATACTGGTATTATCCTAAGGAGAATGAGAGATAGTCACATACATGTATATAAATGAAACTCATTAGAAATTACATGTATATGATGCGTTTTGCTTTTTAGTATTGAAGCGCATGCTTCTGCAGTGTTTTGTTCATTCGATAATTGTTCCTTCCACCTTCTCTTCTTCATTTTATTATTCTCTGTAAAGTCGACTGTGACCAAGCATTGTTACCATTCTCCATACTGAGATACACGTGCCAACATATGCATCCTTACACTCAGTTATACAGTTGTACTAATTGGTACTGCTGTAGATGTCTGCTTTGGATCTATCAAAGGAATCCTGGACTTTATACATGGAACACTAGCAGTTCTACTTTCTGGGCATCACCACAGACTGATATACATTGCAGAGCCTGACCACTCCCCTTTTAAAGGGTGACTATACTGACGTGGGTTTTATGGGATCGTGCTGTGGCATTCCATTTTTTACAAGCACAGACGGACAGGTGTACCTCATGTTTTATATGTGCGGTTATGGTTCTGTTTGTATAACTCAAGAAGTGCCTAGCTGATATAGCACCAGAAGCACCAATGTATGAGAGTATACCTGTGGAGGAAATATATCTCCTGATCTACTCATGAAGCATTGAAACAGGACATTAAAAAGTAGGATCAGTGCTCCTGGTAGTTATAAAATAAAAGAGACAATTGCACACATTAGTAAAGCAATTGGTAGAATTGGTGCTTCCCTGGAAATGTTTTAACAAAGTTATTACATAAAAAAATTGAAGTTATCTCTGGGTAAGGAATACTGTATATAGCTACAGGAGCAATTGCATTTTGCTGTAGTTGCTAACTTAGTTGTTGCTATCATTGGAATACTTATTGCACTTGTTCAAACAACAATTGGTATTATAATGGTAAGAGAAGTTAAGTGTGATACTTAGTTAATATTTATGTAGTGCATAGCTTACTTTAACAATAAGAAAAGCGACAAGATTCAATCAAGACACAAAGCTGTCTATCAAGAAGAAGTAGTCAGACTCCTTACAAATATTACAAAATTAAATATCCTCCTTGAATGAGACTATAGTGCTGAACTCATTGGTGAAGGGAAAGCTATGCCAAAACGAGGACAATGGGTAATAGCACTTGGAAAAGGAGGTGACTAAACTCATAAAGTAAAGTAGATACGTAATTGGAATTATTTATAATTTATAGTCCATTGTCTACTGTAAAGACAACAGCAGATTTCACTTACACTTGCCACTGCAAGAGAATTAACAAGTAATGGTCTGTGGAAGCTTAGATAGCACATTTTGATTTTGTTTTAATGGAGAGAATGAAATCCCTCGAAGTATTTAAACTAAACAAATTTAAAGAATGGGAAACACGGTAGAGCCCAGTATTGTTTAAATAATATGATACAATAATGCACTTTATTTTAAATCTAGTTGATATGGCACCAGGTCCCATTTATACCAGCTTTCCTGACATAGAGTATGATAGTATATCTGTCAAAGGGCAGTACCCTCCTCTATTGCCCGAGGCAGGATGGTTGACACTAGCCAAACACCAGCTCTTGGGCACATGGAAATACCGTATAGCAGAAAATTTTCGTGGCTCAAAATTTTTGTAGATTTCGCATTTTTTTCTTTTCCAAAATCCATAAAAATAAAATCCACGAAAATTGACCCTATACGATTTAAGATGGCCGAAATGTAGAAAACCACGAAATTTATTATTGGACGTATCTGCGAAAATTTGGGCCACAAAAACTTTCCACTATACGGTAGTCTCGAACAGGAGACATGCACCTCTTCTCCCCATTATCCAGGCACACACAATGCCAGGAACCATTGCTAGTCATTACAAAAATTAATGAAAAAAGATTGAGTAAGATTCATTGTGTATCAATTTGTCAAAAATCACTCAAAATAGTAATGGAAACAAGGACAAGTAGGATTCCAAACGATCGATTATTCCAAACAACTGACTATACCAATATGAATGAAAATACGAAATATAAATCCTATTCTCGTGACACAAAACTCTACAATACATTGTACTTTGAATGATTAAAGGAAAAGTGAAAAAATGCGTTCATGATATCATTAAAACAAACGCAATTATCACACCTTCAAACATAT